GAGCGCCGGGGCGGAGGAGGAAGGGGAAGCTGCCGCCGCAGCCCAGCCCCAAGCGCTGGGTTGGAACTTACCGACTGTGCGTTTTAATTGTGTTATTTTCCCGGCCGGGAGGCCAGCATGGTATTTGTAAGTTGAAGAGCCTTTGAAAAGGCAAACACAGAATTGTATAATACATATTAGCTCACACCGTAAAGAGTGCATGGAATTTAAACTGACTGAACTGTAAAGAACAAAGACGTTTCAGGTTTTAACTCGGTTTGGCCACCTCCCCGGCCCTCACGTGCCGGGGAACTGGAGGTTGCAGTGATGAAAACAGTGAGAAGACAGTGAACATCGCTATGCACCCACACGTCCGGCCGCGAACGTTCTGACGAGAGCCAGCCGGTTTTTGGAAGGGTCGAGGTGACCCGAATTCAGGAACAGGGAGACCCGGGCATGATGGCGTCCCGCCCCACCATGAGACCTCCCGGGGCTGTCTTTGTCCTGGCTGCTTCCGGCAGCTGGGCCTGCCTCGGGGCTGCAGCGAGGCTGGCGGTCAGCAGTGTCCCTGCCACTGGCCAAAGCAGACCTCACTGTGTCTGCTGAGAAGCAGCCCTTCCTGCGCCCAAGGTCTAGGCCTCTGGGAGGCAGCTAACCATTCACACAGCAGAGCTGATAAACGTGTCAGTGTCTGCCAGAAGCCAAGTTGGTTCCCATATACAGATGACATATTTGCGTTTTAATTGGCTCTTCTGTGGACTCTTAAACCTAGTTCCAAAGGAGGACAACTAAGGCTGGGAATTTCAAATATGCAGCAGATGCTGATGGAGAGGAGTTGCATAGCCAAACTCTTCGGAGATCTCAAGCGACAGCACCTAGGCATGGCTACGTCATCTTTTTCTTTGCTTAAGGATAATTCTTCCAATGGTGAGATGTTTAATACCAGGTACAAGAAATCATCCCCCCTCCTTTTTTAAAAAAAATCATTTTGTTACATTCAGTCAACATATTTATTGATGGCTTACTCTGTGCCAGATACTGGGGCTAGTTGTCGAATATTTATAGTAGAACAAAAGAAAAATTTTAATGCAGTCTTGTAGCTCAGGTACCAATATTTCTATCAGTCCTTGCTAATTTTTCGAACGAACTGCTAGTACCTCTGTTTACATGTACTGTACCAAACAAATTCATGGAAAATACCAGTTCTTGAGTGTCTGTGAATTGTTTTGGTGACTTTTTCGTACAATTGTTTAATTCCACTCTAGTTTATTACTGCTAGTCAACAGACTTCCAGACCATTTCCTCAACTGGCAAAGTATGACAATGGAATGAAAAAGAATTGTATGACTTGCATACTCATTAGTGATAATATGTACTACTTATTGGGTCCATGCTACATGTCAGGCACCGTGCCATATAAGTGCTTTTGTGGATTAACCCATTTAATACCCGCAGCAGTATGAGCAGTGTGTTAATCATTTATATTTTACCAACAGTTAGTAACTTGACGATAGTTACAGAGCTCTGAAGTGGTTAGAGTGCTAGATTTGAACCCAAATTTGTCTACTGCCCTGCCCTACTTCCATGCTACCTTGTCTCTCATAAATGAGAAGTAAATACGTACGTGGCATTTCATATTTATATTTGCTATGTTAATGTCAAATCCGAATGGCTTTGTTATCGCCTGCATATCCCATAAAGCTGAGATTCTCCAGAGTTTTATTCTTGTTCCACAGCCGTTTTTCTTCTTCCACATTCTCCCTGCGTTATGACAACCTCTCTTTGGGGTTTAATTACCAGCTCAGTGTGAAGACTCTCAAGTCCAGACCTGCCTTCTCTCTTGAGCTTCAGATTTACATATTCAGATACTTACAAGAAAGCCTGACATGTCACAGCTGAGAACAGTCTTCTCTCCCAAAGCTGCTCCATCTGTTATATTCCCTACCCTAGTGAGCATGTCTATCCAGTCATCCAAGCCAGAAGCTGGGGTGTTTTTAGACTCAGGCCAGTCTCCCCCAACCCCATGTGGCATGAATCAGTCCACAAGCCCTGGCAGTATTTTCTCTTAAACGTTCTGGAGTCTGTCTTCTCTGTTCCAAAACAGCTGCCACTGTCTTAATTCAAGAGCTTGTCATGTCATCTCTCTTAACACTCCTTTATAACCCCACACCCTAAGAGACCGCCATTCAATACCTTGGTGCATTTCCTCCTAGGCTTTTAAAATTTTACTAGCTGTGTGTCCTTCGGCAAATTTGTTAACCTCCCTATGCCTCAGTCTTCTCATCTGTAAAATGGAGATGGTAATATTACCTACTTCACAGTTTTGAGAATTAAGTGAGTTAACATGACAAAAATATTTAGAACAGGGTCTGGCAACAGAGTGTCATATACTAAGAGTAAGATATAAGTGTCAGATACTATTTTTCTACAAAATAATCCCAGCTAACTGCAAAAGTGAAAGATCAAAATCTCATAAAATATAAGGGATTGGCAAAGAGCCATAAAAATAACATCAAGTATATGTATAATCAAAATCATAAGTAAAAGTTCTGAAAAGCATTCACTTCTAAAACAAAGCTGATCCAACCACTAAAAACCCGTTCTCTTGAATCTCATTCTTGAGTTATTCAGAAAACATTGCTGCTGTGTGGTTATCCACTAAGGGTGATTTAGTCATGATTTTTTTATGTGGATATCATTTCTTTTGAAATTTTTGAACCAACATTTACTATCTTGAAATATAATTTTTAAAAAATTTACATCCTGTCTTATTCCATTTTCTCACCTCTCAGCAAAATATTGTATTAACAGTTTGGCATTGGGAATTCCCTGGGGGTCCAGTGGTTAGGATTCCATGCTGTCACTGCTGAGGGTGTGGATTCAGTCCCTGGTCGGGGGACTAAGATCCAGCAAGCCACGCAGCGCGGCCAAAAAGAAACAAACAACAACAACAGAAACACAATTTGGCGTTTTCATGTAGTTACATCTCTTAAGGATGTATTTTTCTACACTGTTTTCTTATACTGACAGAGAAGTACATAGCATTAGAGAGGGGAAGCAAAAATTATTACATTCTTTTGTTCAAGGACAATAAATATAACCATTTTATATGTAAATAATTAGAATTTTGGAGTAGAATACAATATAAAATTTTGTGTCTTGCTTTTTTTCTTTCTCACGGTAAAATAATATTTTGCTATGTAGATAAACTTTTCACCACATCGTTGTAGGTAATTGTAACTTCATTTGGAGGTGAGTTTTTTCCTTTCCTTCTTCAGAATACATAATATTTAATAGTGCAGAAAGGTGAGCTTCTCCTGTAATTAAACTCTCATTACTCATGTGAACAGTGTAGGTATATTCCCCTTGATGTTATGAATGTATCCAGTTCAAAATTGTGGCCTGTTTTGGGAGACTCCATATTCACCAAAAGTTAGAACAATTCAAGTGGGTTGTCTCTGAAGTTACAGACAAACCTCTAAGTTAGCTTTAAATTGGGAAGGATTCTTGCAGGTTCTTGTTTCTGAATGTATATCCTGGTGAGAGTAGAAAGTAAGTGTTCCCTTCCTATAACTAAAGGGAAGCAATGTTTACTTAAAATAACAAACAAACATGACTTTAAAAAAAGAAACCCACTAATAATTGTACAACAGGAGTTTGAAGCCTACCACCACCAGAAAAACAAAACAAAACAAAACAAAAACAAAACAGAACAACAAACCAACATCCAAAATCCCAAATATTTTATTGTCCCCTAGTGTGGTTAAATCTCAAAGATGAAAAAGATCACCATAGTCTTTTGACTCACTATTGACTGAGACCAAACAAAAGTTAAGAACAGCCTCATTGTTTAAGCAATAGGAAAGTTGCTTGTGCGCCTCTTGGTTTTGCTTTTTGGACCTTTTTTGCTATTGTTGCTACAGCTCCCACAGGCTAAGCCTAGGAATTCACCCAAAGTTATTCAGTGCTTGGGTCCTAGAGCAGGAGTTTCGGATCTTGGGATTTGTGGAGTTAAGTCTGGGATCCTGGATTGAAGAGTGTGGAATTTGCTCAGAATTTAGCTGGACAAGCATAATTTATACAAACATGTGCATTAATAAAACTGTAGTAGATACCTTGATAGTTGTAGAACATACAGGAAAAATAATAGAGCCCAGAGGAAAATTCTGGAGGCAACTCCTTTTGGCTGTGGTACTCTTGCTGGGGATGAAGTGTCTAGAAATGCCCCTACTTTTACCCTGCTGTCTTATTTTTCACTTTTCTTCCTGATTTCACATTTTTTGTGGGGTGTTTGACAGTGTGGTATGAGCAGAACATTCGTATCAGGTTTTCAAAGATGTATAATTTGATCTTAGTTTACAACTATACCCAGAATGGCCGAAAGTGTGGAAAATGGTGTAGCCAGTCTAGATGTTTCTACATCTATGTCTGAGCCAGAACGCTCCTGGCAGCCTATAGGAAATTATCGTATTATATCTAAAAGGGTAAGCGGAGACCCTGTCTCCAGTGTTCTGTAGGATTCCCAGAACTTGTTGCTGAGCTGACTCAGCTCCATCCCCTTCTCCTCTCCTTACCCCCAAACTCAGGGCACCTACACTCAGGCTCAGTCCTTTAGCTCAGTCCTGGACCTTCAGGAGAAATCTGTATAAAATGGAATATTCCATGCAGTGATGGAGATTTTCCTCATATCAATCATTTTTCTCTTCCTCTGATAGAGCTTTGCATTTTCATTTTTCTGAATGTTCCTGCCTATGACCATCTGTAGAGATTATGAGGGACAAGAAAATTATCTTTCACCGACTGCATGAAAGGCAAGGGTTTCTCTTACTTGTCCTCCCCTCTATTCTTTGTTTGGGAAATGCTTTTGTACTCTTC